TTAGACGAGTGAGGGTATATGAGACAGGAAATGAACAGTTGGTATGTGGGGAGAGCAGAGAGAAAAGCTGACCCCTTTATATCGACGGTAAGCCACTTCCCTCCCCATAAGGCGGGTGGTGCCTCAATCCGGAGAAAAGGGGACACTACTTTGGCCCCTTGTCTTCGCCTCGCTGCGCGTCTCCACTCTCCACCCTTCATTGGCCTCGTGAAGATTGGGTCGGGGTGGGCTGACAGGGAACAAAGCCCCTCCCCTGCCTGTCTGGCACTATCGGGCCCTCTGAGCTTAGGAAATTACGTAGTACCGACACCCACTGAGTCCGCTAATGGTACAGCAATGAGGCAAAGTATGAGTACTTCCATGTGGAGCAGGGGCAAACTTGTGAGCCACTGAGCCACACTTGCCTCAGCCCCCCTGGAGCCCCGGCAACCTGAACCGCGCTGACACCCGCACCTTCTCGCCATTTCTAGGGTGGCACCTGCACCCGTAGCTTTGCCAACCCGCGACTTCCCTGTGGGAGTATTAGCGGCTGACTGCGCTATTACCCGACACAGCCTAGCTCGCATCCTCAACCTTGTACAAGTCTGTTGGAATACTTGTCCCTGGCTGTCCAATCCTACCTCCAGGGACAGAGGATCCTGCAGGAGCACTTGTCAAGTCGACGCTAATTTCCTATTTGGGCAAGCAGGGCGCAAGTCCAAGCACAAGTACAAGTATACAAGAGTGTTTCATAATTTCCCGGCTTTCCCGTGCTGAGAGCACAGGCATTATTGGAGTCCTCCCTCTTGGCCATATCAATGGAACAGGGATTTCGAATGAGGATGCCCAGACAACCATGGGGATGCTGACGGCTGATCATAAAGAGGGATATTCCTGTGATCCCGGAATTCCGACCCAGGAAATCCCGGCAGCGGGAGAGGGGTAATATTAGGTCGTCGACTGGGTCCCTCCCGCCCGCGTCCATGCCCACGCCCTCGCCCAAAGACCTCTGACTGGCTGGGGGCGCGAGCCTAGAAGCCCATCAACCGTTCTACGGAGTACCGTGCGTACACATGTCCAAGTGCTACGTCGTCCAGACAGCCGTGGCTTTGCAGCCAACTTTCGCAGGCATTCCTGGATGTGATTACTAGGCTCAGCCCTGCCCGGGGCCCCCGTTCCTTCAGCTCAGATGCAAGTATGAACAACGTAACTTTCCTTTTTACATACAAAACTTCTTGGATGTTGAGAAACAGAAACTAAGGGGCTAACGGGTGAATATTCGACCGAATCGCAAAGCGCTCCCCATTTCTGACCCGTGGCTTGGAAGCCGCTACCGGGAATCCCTGCCATGGAGTGGCGCGACCATCCCATCGTCATTTCCCGCGAGTGTGTTGTGTTCGACCAACGGCCCTAATAATAATTCTTCGGCGCAGCTTTGTTCGTTCCCCCGGCCCTTCTTTTGGGGAATCGAGGGCCAGAAACCGCCGATGACCCGCACAGAACCGTTTCATCCAGGGACCACCCCCTCATCCCGCATATTGGCCTCTCGATTTTGACGACATTCATGTCACGTACTCGTAAAAGTAGTCTCTCTGCACGATGATCTTCAATGCCTCTCGACTAAGAGTAATCCCGCCGAGCCTAACCGCAGATCACCATCTTGCCCGATCTTCTCGTCCCGCCCAAGAAGAGGAAAAAAAAAATATGTCATACTTGTACTTGTTATTACTTGTACTTATTAATTACGTGCTGGCTCAAGGCAGTGCCACTGCACTCGTTTTGCACCAATCCAAAAGAAGATTATTTCCTACCAGTAGCTCTAAAAATAGGACCCTAACAGAAGAGTGCTCACAGAATACATCATGTACAATGTTGTAACACATCCCCACATCGTCATATGATTATTCCCACTTCTCTGCTTGCTACTCAACCTACAAGCTTCGCCACACTTTGGTACGCTCCCACTGCCTCATTATACGCAATCGCATTATCCATGCGCCTGACCATTCTCATATCTCGCTTTCAGCGTCTTAGCCACGCGTATTTTCAGCGACGAGGGTCGACTCTTAGTGCGCTAGGATAGCTAGCCGCGATCGAAGTGTGGGGATTCGTGGTGGCAGTGGCCAACAGCGACATCAATGTGTCACTGCTGATCCTATCGTTTTCTGCTTCCCCGGATTCTCGTCGCGTGCGATGGGCCCTGGGCGAACCTGGCCAGTGTAATGGCCTGTCCGGCAAGTATTGCTTGCGGCGGACTGGACGTTTGGTCCGTTGGCAGAGTCGAGCTGTTTTGCCCATCCCGCTTTTCTACTTGACAACAGGCGGCCCAAAACTTGGCGACCCGCTGATCTGGTACCTTATCCTATTTATATCCGTGTGAGCTTGGGTTACGTATCACCTGCACTAAGTGCTCTACACCTGAACACCGCGCCGACGAACGTGAAGAACTGATCAAGATCGCGTCCTGCTCGCGTCCCCCAATCCTCTGTAACACTCGGTAGTCACACGCAGCTTCAATGTGGAATTATCCAATCCCGTTATTATGTCTCCAGGCTGGGCTTGGGCATGTGAAAAGCTGTGGGTGTAAACAAATGTAACGGAAATTTAGTAAGCAACATTTCTTAGGTGAACTTACCGTTATATTTGTCTTTATGCCACCCCACCGAACCCCACTACAACCTGGATACCAGATCATGATTGCTCGTAGCTTTCGAGATCTCCCATGCCCATGACTACGCCGCATCTCAGCCCTACCACTACCCAGGTCCCACCAACAACCCTCCAATCGAGGCACAGACAGCTTGGCCACCGAGAGCCACCATGTCCCTCGCCGTCCGCGACTCCTCGGGCCGCAAAGGCCGCGAGCTCCACACCACGACGGCGCGCCCCGCCGCCACCCGCCTCGCGACCTACCCAAACCCGGTCCTCGCTCTCCCCACGACTCCCGCCACCCGGACCACCTGCGCCTCCTGCCTCCGAACCGATTTCGACACCCCCGTGACGCCCTGCTCCGCGTGCCGCGCGGCATACTACTGCTCCAAGGCGTGCCAGCGCCTCTCATGGAACCGCGTCCACCGCCAGGAGTGCCCGGCGCTGAGGGCCGTCCCGGCAGGGAGGGAGCTGCCCACCCCCGTCAGGGCCCTGCTGCAGGTCGTCGTGAGGAAGGATGCGTGGCACGAGGTGTCGAGGCTGGAGGGGAACGAGGGGGGGTTCAGGGCCGAGGCGGGCCGGTGGGGGGATCTGAGGTTGCAGGGGGAGATGGTGAGGAGGGTACTGGGGAGGGACCCGGAGTGGGTTGGCGGAGGCGACGTTGTCGGGAAGTACGCTGCGGCTATGTGCAAGGTGGGTTTGCCCTCCAGGAGAGACCGAGCTTCGTACGGGGCCGAAAACGGCGCGAGGGGGGTGGGATGAGGACAAGGGCTCCTTCTTGGGTGACCAAGATGTCGTGGACTTGATAGCTGATTGATCTAAAAAAGCTCCTCACCAACATGTTCAATGTCCATGACCCGGACTTTAACTACGACGCCGTCTTCCTCGATACCTCTCTCGCCATGGCAAACCACTCCTGCGTCCCGAACGCGAGCGTCCACATCTACGGCCGGACCGCCATCCTCGTGTCCGACAGGGCCATCGCCAAGGACGAGGAGATTACAATCTCCTACACAAGTAACCAACCAAACCCACTCCTCCCTAGTGAAAAGAATACTAGAGAAGGACGAAGTCAGAGACTAACGGGATAGATCCCTCGTACCCCCTTGCCCAACGAAGACAGGACTTGGCAAAGTATCATTTTGAATGCACCTGTCCCCGCTGCGCGGACGACCTCTCGCCATACGCCGCCGCCGCCCTCCACCCCCTTCCGGAGATGGACTCCTTCAGCCTCGCACGGCTCCCACATGACAAGGTGCCTTCCGTCCCGGGCGGTACGTCCCTCCAGGCCGAGATTTACGAGAAGCTTGCGCCCCTCCAGGGTGACCCTACAAGAGCCCGTCTACGCCAGGAATACCGAATCTGCGAGCCGCTGATTGGATTCGGGCAGTGGGCCTCTCTGGCCCCCTTCTTAGAGGAGTGTCTAGGGTACTATCTCACACGTGGCCCCGTGGAGGCCCTCCTCATCACAGCCCTCTCGGCGTGTCGCGCACATCCAATCACCCACACGCCCTTCTCACCCTACAGACTCAAGGGTGCCCTGGCGGTTGTCCGGGCGCTCTCCTCCGCTACGGCGGACCCCGCTCACTATAAATCCCGGATTGCATCTATCGCCGACACGACCGGAGCCGCTGGGGCGGTGGATGTAGACTTGCTGATAGACGTGGACCCCATCGCGATGTCGCGGATGGTCCTATACATGATAAACTTCTACCTCCCCGTCACGCAGGAAGAGAGCTGGCCCCTGGCCGTACAGGCACGGCAGGCCCTCGCCGAGATCAAGGAGTACTCCTCATGGGGCGAGGGCGGGGCGAGGGAAGGGATGGAGCGGTGGGAGGGCGGCGAGAGAGATGCCGAGTGGATGGCCGTTTGGAGGAGGATGGTGGGCCTCGTCGACGGGTTTGCGGAGCTAGGGGCGAGGTTGATTGTTGCGGATTTCGGGGCGTAGTGAAACCTCCCTTAAGGTGGCGAGTGAAGACCATCCCGTACATCCCTGGACCCCCCCCCCCTCTCCAGTTTATGCCGGAGCAGCTTGCTTAGTTCGAGATACCCAAGTGCTCCCTCCACCCAAGTGCCGTTTCCAGATCCTCGACTCAGCTCTTCGGTGCTTCGTACATTACTATACTTCTCCCACCGGGGCCGCCCACTGCGGAATACCGGCGCTTTGCGCGCAACTCGGTCTGAGCTAATAACGGCGGATATATCAACCCCCCCTTCCGCTCCGACTTTCTAACAAGAGACGTGAAGCGTCTCCAACCAGTAGTCAAATTATGATGGCGAACCTGCACACACCAACAGTTTTGCATTTACTTAGTTTCAACGGGATTCCTTCCTGAGCACCATTTGCCGCTCAAGTTTTCACGATAACTTCTGGACCCATGGCGCAACGGTAGCGCGTCAGATTCCAGTTACCAAAATAACAGGAATTTCCTGAAGGTTAAGCGTTCAAATCGCTTTGGGTTCATCTTTTTGCCCCCCCCCCTCCTCCTGGCTCCACCCACCTCCCTTTCCATATTGATCGTACCTCCTGGCCCCACAATCCGAAGGTCTTTTTTTTTTCTTCTCATTTCTTTTACCGCCTAGTTTTCCTTGGCATCTAGTCGGCTTACCAGGACGAGGTACTCGGAGGAATAGAAGGCATCGTCACGAAGCAACTGGACAGAAATGACTGACCGACCGATCAAAGGAATGTTTTTGCAGAATGAGAGACTGGAGAGAAGATTGGTGTGACACACTGTCTCCTGGTAGTATACTCCAGACTCATATATACTCGCAAGGTGCAGGGTGGGCCTGAGTGCGAGTTCATCGTAGCCAGGAGATTCCAGGGGCATTAAGTCATAGGACCCCCCCACGAAGTTCTAAACCCAGTATAATATATCTATCTGGCCTTTACTTTCTCGCCCCAGGCGAGAAGTGGGAACACCCGCCTCGGCCGAGCTGGATATGTCCTCACCCCTATCCGAAGAAAACCCCCAGAGTTTATAGACCTAACTTCCCCCTCTCCCCTCCCAACATCCATCTATGGATGCTGAGGATACTGCGGGTGCTGAATCTGCTGCTGCATATGCTGCATCTGCTGCTGTTGCTGCTGCACCTCCGCAGCCCTCCTGTCCAACATCCCCCTCACCTCGCCCCCCATCCCCTCAAACACCTCCAGGAGCCTCAGCGCGTCCTCCCACCTCTCCCCGAACCTCGCCAGCGTCTCGTGCACGAACCTCATCGCCTTCATGCTCCTCTGCAGGTTATCCTCGAACTGCAGCTGGAAGAACCTGTGCGGCAGCGGCGGCGCGGGGACACCCCCGCCGTCGCTCTGCGGCATGAGGACGGGACGGCCGGAGACGATGAGGTCGAAGGCGGCGCGGAGGAGGGACACAAGCTGCGTGCCGATGAAGTACACCCTCATGACGTCGTAGTAGGTCGTGAAGGGCGCGCTGCGGGTGTCGAACGCGGATTCGTGGACCTGCTCTATGAAGGAGACGGCGTGCTCGAAGAGGAGGGACTGCCGGTACTCGGTGGCCTGCGGCGCGCGGGTCGACGGCATCAGGCAGTAGACGTAGCTCCATTCCAGTTCCAGATTGAAGAGCCGCTGGACGTCGCTGGGGAGCGAGGGGGGCAGCAGCTCGGCCCACTCTCGCAGCTCGTGGCAGGCCTTCCAGAGGAAGGACTGACCGTCTGGGAGAACGGTCGTACCCGATTGGTAGAGTGTCTGGTACCATCCGGACTGGAGGCGTCGTAGCTGGAATAGGTGTAGCGCGGGGCTGTTCGACTGGGGCCCCCTGATGTGGCCCGATATCGACGGTATCCTCCCTAGCCCCGATGAGCTGGGTAGCGCAACGTCCACGGCAGAATCCGTGAAGGAGAAAGACCTTGCGTGGCCCATGCTCACGGTCCTGTTTATTGGGGGTTAGCTTGGATGGACATACACTCGAGCCGACGTTGGTGTCAGCTGCTTTCTGGAAACTGGCAACGTACCTGTCCAGCGCATAGACGCAGTGGAACATCTTCCGCCTTGTCTCAAGGTCGTTCTTGTCTCTCACATCGTGGGACGGGGGGTCCTGGTGGAGTCCCATCTCAAGGACTACCCGCGCCGTGAATCCCATGCAATGCCATGTATCGAAGTGCCTCGGATCGTACATGGCATACTGTGTAAGTAGGACGAGCGACGGGATGGTGCTCATAGCCCCTGGCGTCAGGACCTTCTCTGCATACGGCACAGCCCGCGCGATAAAGTCAACACCCCTGTTGTAGAATTCATCCTGGCTGGAGCGGCTCTGGGCGCTCGAAGCGACTGCGAGCACCGTCCAGAACAGCCAGTGGTCCGCGTTACTGAGCGCCTGGTCGCCTCCGGCCTGGTAGATGTTGTCCAGAGTCGCCCAGATGGCGGTTTCGGGAAATGCCGGGTACAGGGCGTAGATGTTGTCCATGTAATACTGTACAAGTGCGTGCGCCTCCTGGCGGGGGGGCAGCGCGTCGTCCCTCGGGCTGGGGAGTCGGTGGCGGAAGCAGGATGCCGCCATGAGCTTTGCGAACGCCGACCCACCACTTATGGACGACTCGGCATCGCGCGACGTCGCTCCGACTGACCTATATGTCGTGCTTGGATTAGCGTTTTACCCTTTGAGTGTGAGGTCGCAGCCTCGTCTGGCGATGCCCGAAAGGGGCGGGGGTTGGGGTTGGGGTTCAACGGAGTGAGCGTCCAAAGGCAATTTCTTACAGTAGTCCGAAGTCTGACACCAGAGAGTCTAAGTCGGCTTTCTCTTGCTTCATCTCGGCCTTCCTCCTCACGGCAACCCTAATAGCTGCTAGCGAATCTTTACGATCTGGATTCGCGGGGAGTGGCTCCCCGTCGTGGAGAGCCATGGAAGCTTTTCGTTCCTTGGCATACCGGATCTGTTTCTCGAGCTTTTCGACCCGGAGCTCTAATGCGGCTACGTAGCTGAAGATATGGGTCAGCTTTCTTTTTTCCCCGGCGCCGGTGACAGTCGGGCTGGGAGGGCTAGCAAACCTCCGTTCTTTGCCCCGGGCAAACTGGTCGCTGGCGCTTGAACATTCGTTCGCCCGCCCTGCCTTCTCACAGGCCGAGCAGGCGGGCAGCTTGCCATCGCACTTGACTTTAGCGGAACGACCTTGATCGGAGTTAGTAGCTGGATATAGAGAGGTAGATAGAAAGGCCGCGGGAGCTGTGTAAGCGTTGGCTGGGTGTCCCTCACATCTTGAACAAGCCGAAACGGGCCGTGACACCCTCAAGAGAGGGTTGTCGATGAGACTAGAGTGAGGCATTGTGAGTTTGATAAGGGAAAGGTAGGTCTGGTGTTGGAAGGTAGCTCTGTCGGGGGATATGAGGCATGTGTTGGGAGAAGGAGTATGATATTGAGTAGGGGGGGAGAGAAAATGTCCTCGTCGTGGGATATATTCGTGTGGATCGTATGGTTATGTATGGATGAAGGGCGACAGAACGGGTTGTTCCACAAAGGGCTCAAGTGATGACCGCTTAAGGCTCAGAAACGCCGCTCGTCTCGATCTGGACCTGGACCTGGACCTGGACCTGGACCTGGATCTGGATCTGGATCCGGGAGGGAAATCAACTATGGGGCTAGAGTTGAACAGGTGGTCATTCTTGTGCTAATCCCATGGCGCGGGTACCTTGAAGAGCCGTATGCGGGTGTACTCGTAGAGGCGCCGTTTAAGGTGGGATGGGGATGAGATGAGATGAGATGAGATGAGAGGAGAGTCGAGGTCAATCAATCAACCCCACCCTTTATCGTTAATATCGTTGGTCAGGGTATTCTCCGCAGGCTGGGTAGGTTAGGGTAGGATAGTTCGGTGGTTAATATCCCGTCGTCGAAGAGTAACACGGCTAGCGGAAGTAATAAACTCGTGGGACAGCGGACAGTTTATCGTGCGCACGGCAAGAGAGTGTGTACAAACCACGAGGAAACGCGATGCGCCGTGGAGCAGGAAGGCGGATGGATGGATGGACTGGAAGCGGGATGAGTGGGGTGGCTAGGAAGCTCTCTCCATTCGCGCCTCGTTGTGGTACTGTAGTGTACTCCTACCTCGAAGTGTCTTGGTGGGGCAATTGGTCCCGTCCGAATGCTTGGTCATTACCCCTCATACAAGTACTGGAAGTTGGTAGGCTAGATCGTCTTTGCCCCTCCCGTCGACTCCGGGTACTTGTACAGGTACTCCGTGCGTTGTGCTTGTACTTGCTCTGGTACGAATGAGAAGTATCGCCTGGTTGAACTGAAGGATGGATGGCGTTTTGGATGCTGAGTGATAGACTGGGCCACTCAGGATGCATGCAGTCGTAGTCGTCGTCGTAGGGCCACATATGCCTGCAGTAGAAAGATGAAACGATTGTATGAGCCTAATGCATCTTTCCCAAGCACCCTGCAATGTTCCCGCTCTTATTCGATGCTTAGACAGGTATGAGTACTTGCGGCTTACAAGTACTTACACGAGCATCTCACGTGATATATCGAACCCCCCTTGGCACCCCTGATGCTGGCAAGCAAGACCCGCACAAGTGCACACGTAGATTACTCGTCGGATGAGAGAGCACGATATGCAGATCGGCATTGATACTATCTTGCGATTTTGAGGATTCTAGAATGGTCCTCGGGCTGTGAGCGAATACAAGTAACTGCTGCCCCAATCCTCCTCGGTCTCGGGGTGGTCCCAATCCCTTAGTTTCCTTGGCCCCTTCCAATACGCGTACGCATCCGGAGAGCACCTTATCTCCACTTGTTTCCTAACCGTTCTTATGGTGTTGCTTTTTTGTTCGGTCTTTTATAATACTTAGTAATATTTCCTCAGCATGGAAGCTCGGTCCGCTGCCCCTCCCCTCCATTCGCCGCCAACAAGGTGTGCTCCTTGTGATGTTACTGGGCCATGGGACGGACTCCAGCCAGCGAACTTTGTCCGTTTGCATTGAAACAAAGCAAGAAAAAACTGCACATGCCGCCTCAATATGCCGTCCGTCCGGAGGCTCTCGAAGGGCCCCATTTAGAAGTATAAGTACTTGGCCGACGGGAGCTGGGGTATTATAGCTTCAAGCCGTACTGCCTGTTCAGGGTTGGTGCCCCAGATCTTGAAGCCAATCCCCCTGTACACTACTATTATTAGTAGGGCGGCAGTGGGGATCATCCTTTGTAATAGGGTGCTCTTGAGAGGCTCACTCTCGCCGAGTGCTGTTTCTTGTCCGCCAGGAAGTTGGGTCAGTCACCCACCACTTTCATGTTCGTTGCTTCTCAAACCTATGGATGTACAAGCAATCGCTCTGACCGCTAATACCTCTGGTTGCGCCCACACTTGCATGCCTTGCGAGGTCTCGCTGGCACTGTTGAAGACCTCCAAGTGCAAGTACTGCAAAGGGCTGGCCTGCATGCAGGATGCGTCGAGTCTGTGTTAAATGGCGGGATCCGAAGTACCTCGATGTTGCCCACCTGGACAGTTAATTGGCAA